TTTAATTAAAATTAAAATGTAGAACATACTAATAGATTGTGTCTATCAAATAAATTGTTGCCTTGAACCAAACAGGTTTTGAATTAAACTATAATTTTCTTATTAAAGTTGTTGAATTGAATTTAGTGAATCAAATAATACAAGGAAATAAAAGTATACGTAAATTCCGTGACTTCAATGTTACAGTAATGAGATATTGATTTAAAATTGCAATATACAAACTTCTGCCTCTTATTAGTTTAAATTTTAAAAAACGGATAAGATAGCGACAGCGAGATTCGAACTCCTTCCCTTCGTGAGGGAAGAGAGCCCAAAGCAAACGGAGCGCGCGGGCGGTGGTTACGCCTCTTATTAGTTTAAATTTAAAAAAAAAAGGATAAAGAGAAAGTATTTTCAAATGTATTATTCTTTAAGTATAACAAATTGCATCAAATAAAGAGATTCACTTACTTTAAAGCTAAACAGAACGGAACACACTCATATGTACTTTTTGTATTAAAGATTTACTGCTAAGTAAACTACAATTTGTTTTACTAAATTTGTTGAATTCAAACAAAAATTATAAGAAAATTTAAAAATATATAAATCATGCCGCTTCCAGATTCATTAAAATTAATATTGATCTTAGTCTTACGATATATCATTACAATTAGAAAATTATTAGAAGCCACAACCTTTTCAAAACTTACCATATTTACATGTAAATTACAATTAGAATAATAACTAAGATAAAACAAGTTTTGCCTTTAATCCCCCAATTCGAAAGACTCTAGATGATTGATTAGGAGTTAACTTAAGCAAATATTCATGATGGAAATTTTAATCTCTAAATTTAACTTTTTAGTGTATAAAACTACAAATAAAAAACATTTCGTCTTCCTCCTCCTCCCTTTGATATAATTTTTGCATAGGTTAGAGAAAGCTACTTTAGAATTTAGCTTTCTAACATTTACCATACCGTGTTTCCCTATTTACGTAACATAATATTGTGACGTTCTTTTCTCCCCCTATCATTTTTAAGACTCCTAATATTATAATATTCATCTACTAAGATATGGATATTATCAGTCGATAACTCTCAACTTTTCCCTTACATCATATCTTCTCAAATTGATACCATCAATGATCCGAAATTGTAAATAATAATATGCATGCGAAAACGGGCTAAGTAGCTAGTTCAAGGATAAGTTTTTAGATGCCTACTTTCCTATGGAGAAAGCACAAATTGTTGCATTCTCGGGAAGCCCTTTTTTGTTAGATTGACCTGATAATTTATATGGTTGGCCTTTTACTTTAAATTTTATTAATCGACCTGATGAAAGCAAAACTCACTTTAAAATCTTGGCCTGATGACGGGTGGGTCCATAGCAAAACTTGTTTACACCCTAATGGAAATAATCTTGTTATTGCATAATATCCATGATTGGAAAAATCTTAAACTTATTGTACGGCGGTCAATTGAGTCTTAAACTTTTCAATTTGGCAAATTTAGTTTTAAACCTTTTGACGATTTTCTAATGTAGTCATTCCGTCAAATTCTGGATGAAAATCGTTGATATCGACATTGGCATAGTTGACACTGACGTGGCACAATCAAATTTTTTTTTAGCTTTTTGAATTTTTTCTTTTTTTCCTTTTCTTTATTTGTCCTATTTTCCTCTGCAGGTCACTAAGGTCTCGACAAATGCCAAGACGCCCTTGGGGGCCCTAACTGGTCATCGCTAAGACCCTGGTAAGTGGCGGAGGGAAATGGGGAAAGAAGAAAAGAAAAGAAAAGAAATGCAAAAAAATTCAAATTTTTTTAAAAAATTATCCTCGTTAGCTCTGGCCGTGCCATGTAAGATAGTTGACGCTAACCGGACTGCCATATCAGTAATTTCCGGCCAAAATTGATCGGAAGGATTACATTGGCAAATTGATAAAATGTTTATGACTAAATTGGTTAAATTGAAAAATTTAAGACTAAATTGGCCACCGATAATAAATTTATGACTTTTTGGACAATTTTTCCAATAATCTTGTGACCACAAGCATCCGCATTCAATACAATGAAATTAAAGGACAATGATTACCTAAAAATAAAAGTATATGTACTATAAACCTGAACTTTCTATTTGTTTACTTTAAACATTTAGTAGTTGAGTAGGTTTATAATTAGGACATCTCCTTTTCTAATTTTGATTTTTGAAGTTCTATATAGGTAAAATTAGTTGATTAAAGAATTTAGGATGTCAACCTCAAATGGCGATTTGATTAAACTATCATGTGCTGAAAGCACAAATAGGTATTAGATAAATTTTTGAAAATTGAGGGGGTGAGTCGGCCTCAAGACTTAAGTTTTTGTGGACCTTAGACGATATGCCAATAAACTAAATTGAAGGAGGAATAATCACCCTAAAAGTCCAAAATTCAATTTACAGAATTCAATCGAGTCTTCAACTTTTCTGTTATGGTAATAAAATTGTAGATCTTTACTGAAAGGTGCAATGCAGTCATATGCATTTTATTTGGTAGAATCAAGTCCTAATCCTTTACTCAATAGTACAATCAAATTCTAAAATATATATTTGAAAAATGGAATTTAAGGTTGCCATGTATGTAATTTTCGAGTGCCACATGGCCAATTTATGGTAGTGTTTAGATATTAAAAGGACTTGATTGTGCTTTTGCAAAAATAAAAATAAATAAATAAATTATATATATATGATTGAACTTGATTGGATCGAAAGATCAAGGACATGGGTACGTTCTATATTGATTTAGGACTTGGGCCATGTTTTCTTTATTCTCGGTTGGATGAAATTTGCTCCAACTATCTCTCTCATTTGGTAGGATCTAAGCATGAACATCATTAATATTTATTTTTATTATATATGCATGTGGGTGATATCCATAGCTAATAATTTATGAATAAGAGGGTAATTTTCTACAACCAGAGATGGAGGAACTATTGCCGCTAGGACTTTCAATGCGCACATCAGTTACCACTAACACTTCAACTGGTGGTTCGGCTTTTGTTTTGGTCACAACAGAATTTATGCTGTACAAGAGTTGTATAGGTCAATTACAACTTAAATTTATCGTTACTTAGGCCACCCGACCTTACTTTCATTTTTGATCAAGTGTCCAAAGACCCATTAAAAAAATAAGCCCAATGAATTTATTTTCTTCTTTTGTTTTATGACGAGGAATTACACTTATATGCGTAGATTGTCATTTATAATTTCAGTTTAACTTTCACAAACTCACTAAACTCTATATCCAACTTTAATGTAAGTTATTTTAGTTTTAGCTACTTTCACAAAGGTCATGATGATCTAAGCAAATTAAGTTATCGATATGCGTGAATAAAGACAATACAATATGCACACTATGTATAGGTTTTTTCTGTTTTTTGGTATGAACCTTTGTATAAGGTGTTGAAAAAAAATACAAGAACAGAAACTAGCTGGATATCCAATTTAAAATAGCTCTCAATGTTATTACTTTGTACTTAATATTAGGGAAATTGTCCAAAAAGTCTTAAATCTATTGCACTTTTACCAATTTAGTCATAAACCTTTTAATTTTACCAATTGAGTCATAAACTTTTTCATGTTTTGTCAATTGAGTCCATCTAGCCAATTTTTGCAGGAAATTGATGACGTGAAAACTGGCCGTCGTGGCATGGCACGGCCGCACTGACATGGACATTTCTAATATTTTTTGAATTTTTTAACATTTTCTTTTCTTTTGTTTGTTTTTTTTACACTTGAACTCGCTGGCCGACCATCGTCGACCATAGGTGACGGTGTCAGGCCCTCACATAGATCTAAGCGAGGGCTGCAAGCCCCTCGCCAAAGAGAAGGAAACAAAGGTAAAAAAAAGAAAGAAAAAAATAAAAAGGGATTTTTTAAATAAAATTATTAAAATATTGTAAAAATGCCCACGTCGGCACTGGCTGTCCATCGACTGTGGCACGAAAGACTGTTGGTGTCCACATCAGCGATTTTCGGCTTAAATTGATCGGATGGACTAAATACCAATGTAAAAATGTTTCGAACTAAATTGGTTCAATTGAGAGGTTCATGACTAAATTGGTATCAATGTAATATATTAAGGACTTTTTGGTTTTTTTCCAATCCTCATGTGTTTGGAGTCTTGAAAGGAGATAATCAACGGAAGATTTACGGACAAGGAAAATAACTGTACTTAAAATTGAGGAAAATGATTTTCCACCTTAAATAGAAGAAAACATTTTTCCAAACTCCATTCCACTTGCATGCTCAAATATAATTATAGCACAGAAACTAATTTTTTAAAGTAAAATATAAACATCAAAAAGCCTTTTTCATCTCACTTTCAACTACAACCAAACAATTAAAAGCAACCCATTTTCCTTGAAACTCACTTTCACAGAAAACATTTTCCGCTATCAAGATGTTTTTTAGCGAATGAGACACACCTTAAGAGTGAAAATATATAATTACGGAGATAAATAAGGACTTTCTAATCTGAACAATGTATAACTTGTGAGATCAGTGCCCACTATTGTATAAACTTAATATGTAAGATGAAAGTGTAATTTAACTCTATCTAGTTCTAAGGTTTTATTTTGATGACTAGGTACAATCAATAAGTCATTTCATAGCCACATAGCGATATATATATAGAACGAGTGGACTTCACTAGCATAATTTGCATCATAAATTGTATATATTAAATAACCCCTAAGTATTTGCATAAACAAATAACGGTGTGCGTGGGACCAAGAAAGAAAGGGAATCCTGACTCTTTCTTTAATAAAATTTAATAGTTGCGTGCCTCTATTTTTTTTTTGTCACTGGGGAATTTTTTTTATTATAAAAAACTTCTAATAAAAGACTTAAAATGATTAAACATATGAAATATCAATTGGTCATGATAATCAAATCTCCAATCAGGTCACGTAAAACAATGCACGCAATATAAAGCGAGTTTCTTCGTTTATCACTTGACCCAGATAAGAACTCATTTCTGTCTCTCTCTCTCTCTCTCTCTCTCTTTCTCTCTTTCCTCTTGTCTTCTATTCGTTCTAGGGTTTCAATTCCAGCTACCTTGTGGTTCACATAAAATAACCCCCATTATGATTTTAAAATCACACATCCTAGCATTACTCTGATTATTCCATTGCGTTTCAAATTCATTTCTGTGCTGCGTGTATGGCTTCGGGTTTAGATTTAGGTTCATCCAACCCTTTTCTTCACCACCTCCAGAGGCCTGACCTCCACCTCCAGAACCCACCAGATTCTGATGACAATGACCCCAACACCCCAACCCACTACTCTGGCAACAGCAGCAACCTCGACCTCGTGTTGCCGACCTCGGGGCCAGGCGACGTGGTCACCCGCCGGCCCCGCGGGAGGCCGCCGGGCTCCAAGAACAAGCTGAAGCCGCCGGTGATCATCACCCGGGAGAGTGCCAACACGCTCCGGGCCCACATCCTGGAGATAGGCAGCGGCCACGACGTGTTCGAGTCCGTGGCAGTGTACGCGAGGAGGCGGCAGCAGGGGATCTGTGTCCTCAGCGGGGCCGGCATGGTCACGGACGTGAGCCTCCGTCAGCCGGCGGCGGCCGGCTCGGTGGTGGCGACCCTGCACGGCCGGTTTGAGATCCTGTCCCTGTCGGGGTCCTTCCTGCCGCCGCCGGCCCCGCCGGGGGCGACCAGCCTTACGGTGTTCCTGGCGGGGCCGCAGGGCCAGGTGGTCGGGGGGAACGTTGTGGGGGCGCTGATGGCCTCCGGGCCGGTCATCGTGATCGCGTCTTCTTTCACGAACGTTGCTTACGAGAGGCTGCCTTTGGAGGAGGAGGAGGTGAATCCGATGCAGCAAGGGGGCGGCGGCGGCGGAGTCAACAACAACCAGTTCCCAGATCCTTCATCAGGTTTGCCATTCCTCAATCTTCCACACAACATGACTCATCAGTTAGCAATTGATGGGTGGGGTGAAAATGCAGCTGCAAGGCAGGGTTATAATTGACCCACATGAAAATTAGATTAACTAGATTTGTTGTAATCCCCACTTGGTGTCTGTATGACATATTCTCTCTCTCTCTCTCTCTCTCTCTCTCTCTCTCTCTCTCTCTCTCTCTCTCTCTCTCTCTCTCTTCCTGGTGTTCTTTTGTTCATTCTTGTAAGTTTGATCTTGGAGATGTGTGAGGAAAGACTTGGGCTATGTTTTTGGAGTTTAATCCCCTAATTTGGACTCTCCATCATCAGCTGAAATTGACATTGAATGGGTTCAACTCTAGACCAAATTTGCAGCGTTTCACAAGCTATCACTCACAGAACAAGGGTTAAAACTATGGGACACGCATGTGCAGCAAGTCAATAGCCCTTTTCTTGAAACGAAAGGTATGAGAAAGACGAAAGGTATGACGAAAGCTATTGTTGTTCTTATCATCAGTAGACGCTAGGGTTTGTTTTTCTGGCTTTGATGACTTCAACACAGGGAATTTCTAAGATAGGAGGAGCATTTCTTGCATTTTTCTCTCGCCTGCTGCTTTATCACATCCTAGATGCTGATTAGAAATTGGGCTACTTCATGGGGTTGTTTGTCTTTGTGTTTTCCTGCCAATATGATGTGAATTTTAAAAAAGTTTTCAGACTAACTATAGCAATTTGTAATCTGCATTTACATCATTATATGCTAGTTGAGGCATCTTGATCAAATAAAGAATCGGGACAATGCTTTTTTTTTTTTTCGAATTAAATGCCCTATTCGAGATTCAAAAGATAATCCGATTTGCTCTCCAGCAACTCTAGCTGAAAAAAAGAAGAGAAGATGATCATGGACTCAATTTCAGGATTGCAGTTGAGCCTGAGATCTCAAATTCAACTCCACATCACCTTCCCTTTTTAGCTTTCATCCGTTTAAGATTATCCTTTCTCAATTTATTTTAGATTTCCATAATTATTTCGCATACACATATTGGGCCTGTACACTTGTGACATTCGTTATCGTACTGGTGTTGACTTGATGGAGAGTGTTAAGATGAAAACGATAATTTACATGATGGTTTAATAGCTCAGAGATCGTTTCATTAAGTTTGTTTTTATTTTCATTTATAAACAACAAAATCCTTAGATGTACTTCTAAGTCACACATCCATTGATGACCGTACATCATTTTCAGTAAACGATGTTTTGGTCATGTCTGACTGTTGCTTTTACATTTTTTCTGTTTTCCTCAAATAAAAAAAGAAAAACGTACTAGTTATACATAAGTGAAATAAAAAGCAACACGATTTTTATAATATTAAAAAAAAAACAAAACTTATCATATTTCTTAATTCAAAAACAAAAACAATATTGCTTATTAGACAAAAGCAGATTCTAACTATCAATGGTATTGATAAGCAGCTAGCGATGCCATTGAATTTGCAAATTTTAATCGCTGCATTTGGCCGAAAGTGTGTTGTGAAGAAGGAAGAAATGAATGTTCCTACACAGATGAGATTTGCAGTATTTTGATGCCGAGATTTCTCTCCATTAGCCTAAATTTACGGATTGAATTTACTTTTCTGATCCTGAGTCTGAATATTTTCTGCTTACAAGATGATAAATTATATTGGTTTTTGTTCTCAATATGATAAATTTTATGCGTAGTCATCCAAACAGCGATGTTATGTAAAAACTATTTTTCGTCTTTCGGGAAAAAAACCGGGGCCGGGATATTTTGAAGCACAAGATTTTATTTTTGAGACATTTATGGCACAAGATTTAATCTATATATGCTTTTGCTCGTGCTGCTTAATATATTACATGAATCATATGCAAGACTTCACACAACTGACACACATTACAATCAAACCCTAAAAGCTGAACCACTGAGGACACGAGCTAAAGATCCCTTTCGGTTGTTGATGATTTCCCGATATCGGAGCGATGTCTACTTTGGATGGAGAGGGAGGGATTGGAACTAACATTTGATTCGGAGGCGGAGGGGATGGATGGAGGGTACGCATTCGAAGTTAACATTCCGTTCTCTGCAGATTGGAAGCACTGCTCCATGATCTGGTTGAATTCGCAACATCAGAACTGTTCCGTATCGTCGCCATATCATTCACTTATGGAAGAAATCGAGATAAAATTGGAGCTTATGATTGCAGAAAACCGTTCAACACCTTCCTCAGATTGCAGAAATCGGAAAAGATAACAAAAACCTAATGCTTTGCTAGTGCAGCTGTTCACAGTAGATCCTTACAGGGTAAGTAGGACAACTGCAGCTCACTTCAAAGAAGGATCAGTGTACAATTAATTGGCATAAAGAAGTTGACATTCTGGTCATATTCAAAAGCACGCGAGCTGATACGGTTGAGGAGGTTTACTCCCGAGATTTCCGATCTCTGCAGATGTGTTAGCATCGTGCAGCAGTAACATCGTGAGAGGAATGACATAGAGCAGGCGTGAGAAGCGTAGCAGACTATACTAGTGACCCCGGATGCCGGGCGGCAATATGGATCTCAAACCCATTTTTTGACATATATCTAGTGGGCTAGGTAGAATATAGGTTACCTAAAATTGTAAATACAGGTCGTAAAAAGTAAATAAAAGTAAAGGCCCGATCATAAATGGGTCTTGCTTGATCTGAAATAGACCCATTTTCAACTCGTAAAAAACTCAGCTGAATTCGGCCTGACAAAACAAGAGTGCTATGAGCTTCCTTCGGAGATCACATCGTAGATTGCCCCGAGTGGAAGTGGAACCAAGATTGCTCAGAACTTTCCCGCATCAACTTCGTAATCGATATCGCCGTGTTGATACGCAGGCTTTGCTTCTTAACTTTCTGGAAAATTGATGACACAGTGAAGTCACAAGAGAAGCCAATTACAGTTGAATGTTCACAGGCATGATCTCGAATTTCAATTGTGTAAGACATGTCAAGAAAGGGATGCGTAACTCAGCCATGCAACAACTTGTGAATGAAACTCATGATTTGGTCGTGCTTTTGCCAATCCGTGGCACACTGTATCCATTCCAAACTAGCTCAAGGGGGAAAGATGATTCTTAACAATATGGTTAAATTCAGGCACGGGACTTTTTGATTCACAATTCAAAATACCACTTTTAAGGCCTTTTTTGTTGAACAATCAATTCGCATAAAGGACCTTTTGCCATCAATCTTTTTAGGTTGTTGATTTTTATTTTCATTTCTGCCACAAAAATAGTTATTTGCTGATCTAATGGTTATGCTTAGAATGTGAGTTATCTGGGTGAGTTTGGATTTGGCCTATATTGAATTGGGTATGGGTCACATAAATCATACGGCATGAAAATGACTATATAGATTAAAAAGGTCAATACGGTCCACACCCACATTTAGACCCTTCCAAAGTGGATCCGACGTACCAATTTACCACCTCTAGTGGCAGGCGAGGAATGACAAGTCATTTGTCATGGAGATTTTCTCAAGGGTTCGCTACGCCCCTAAAGTCTGATGATGCCGAGTTCCACAAAGGTATTGAAGCCCAGACATTGTGAAGACAAAAAATTCCTCCCAATGAGTGAAATGATCGGGCATAAGCAATGAGAAGTGCTTATCGCTAATAGAATTGTGCAATGTGTCAATCCTGGTGTCGAGAGCCAATAATGAGTTGTCACGTGTCGGGAGGGTATATGTTACATCAAACCCACTAGAAAGGATTAGGGATTAGGTGGGGCTATCCCTAACGAGCCCCATTCCGAGGTCACCATGCCGAAACTTTCTAAAACATCTCAATCGAACAAGAATTGATAATTTCAACAAAACAAAAAAAAAAAGAATTGATAATTAATGATTGACCTAAAAATCAGAAACTACCTCTAAGTCCATGCAAATGACAATTAGTGATCTACCTACTAATTGAAAAGCACCTCAAATTCTAGTAAGTCTGAAGGTCTTGACAATCGTAAGTGCTCAGGAGTAATAAACAACCTGTAATTATCTTAAAAATATTTTTTCAATATTCTTAGTAAATTTGTCTAAATTCCTTTCATGTAAGTCAATCATATCAATCGTTAAAGTTGTTAGTTGTAATTTTCCTAAATTAATTATAAAATTTACAGCCCTACGGTCATTGACCTCCCGTAAATGTCAATAAGTTACCCTTTATCAGGTAGCCGGTTGCACTTTTTTAAAATTGATTTAACCGACGAGATTTTTTTTTCCTTCAATTCCAATGGTCCATATTTCATAAGGGGCTGATTCCATAAAACCCTATGGACCATAGAATTTTCACCGAAATAATCAATAACGAAAACCGTGCAGTTTTTAATGTACGGTCTTTCTCGTGTTATGTGTAATTTGTGCGTTAAAAGTCGAAATATCTTCTCGTTAACAAAATCCAAGGGAGAAGACATAGTGATATGAGATTTCACAAATTATTTTGATTGTTTTTATATTATTGATCTTGTTGAGTCGTTCTAGGGTGATCACAGTATTAAGGCCTTTGCATTTTCTCAAGGCCCATTTTCAAAGCCGAGCCAAACGCACCCTAAATCCCAGTTTAATAATTTAGAAATCCCAAATGATATACAAAGTCAAACTTATCGACAGTTTAGATCTAAATTATTTTAAAAAAATGAATATGAACGACAGAAGAAAATAAGACATGATAGCTAAAGTTTTCCAAATTAACAGAGATTTTATTCTAAACAATACAAAAATATAAGAGAATGGTCCTTTGAAATCTACTACAATCAACATAAAAAAATTAAAGGAGAAGGCTGTGAATTTATTAAAATTTTTGAAGTTCATATGTTATTTTTCCAATGGTTTAAAAATTATTCAAAGTATAAGAGTAGATGATAGTGGAAAATTTGAAAATTTAATACAAACAACCCATGCAAATTACTTAGCCAAAAAAAAACCTTAGAAGCAGAATTTACTAAATAAATCCAGAAAAAAATAGATCAAATTGAGAAATTTTTTTTTCCCGATGCCGACGAGGGCGACCCTCGCCAGATCCCACTCAGCCTCCTCAGCTCCGCTAGCATGGGCGCCGCGGCCCCCTTCTCTTCCCACCTCCTCCTCTCCCTCTCCAGTTCCCTCTCCTTCCTCACCTTCCGCCTCAGCTCGCCGTACCTCTCCACAAATTGAGATTGATTGGGCACTTGTGACCCCATTTTGAGACTGATTGCACTTGGGACCCCATTTTTAGAAAATAAGCTCAATTTGGACCCCAAATTGAATATTTCCCGAGAAAGAATTACCCCCAACGGAATAATCAACTAACCGTATATCTCGGGAGTTATGATCAATTAACGATATGGAAGAAACTAATAACGAATCTGTCAGAGAAGATACATACGAGGTATATAAACATCACCGGCAAACATCGCAAAAACCCCGTTACGATGGAGCAAGTCCTGCATCTTTGCTATTAGAAAAAAATTAAATCTCTTTAAAAATAAATATAAATGCCAATTCAATTTTGAGTCTTATTAACGAGTGCTTTTGAGTATTTGCAAAATATATTTGATGTGAGAATATTCAATTTTCAAAACATTGAATCAAAGTATTTGAAAATTATAATATTTTCTTATTTAGTCGTAGGGATATGTTTTTGAAAAATCCGATGTTTAATTATAATGCTTTAATTTAAACTAAAACAAAATGAAATTGAAAACCCTAGAAAAACCCTCCATTCAAGTTTACCATCGTCTCCTCCTCAGTTCTCTAACTAGCCTCCTCCTGCTCGCCGCGTCGCCGCCGCCTCGCCGTCGGGATTCGCCGCCGCACCTCTCGTGCGTGTGTCTCTCTCTGTTTCCCTTCTCCCCTTCTTATCTCCCAATCTCTCGCTGTCTCTCTTGTTTGCGCTCGCGCTCTCAATTCGTCTCTGTATGCCCGAGTTCTTGTTCTTGATTTCTTCCAACCGCGGCGCGTTGAGTGGCTCTTCGAAGAGAGCCGCCGTTCATCGGAAAGCCACCGATTGTTCTTTCTTGAATCATGATATTCATAATATTTTTCGGGGTTCGTGCATAGATTGGAATTCGGAATGGGCTGGATGTATGCGCTCTAAGATCTCGATTTATTGTCTTAATTGATGTTGATACATCCAAGAATTGCTGCGGCTTGTGGGATTTCAGCTGCGGTTTTGCGCATTTCACTGTATGCATCGACGGTCTCTTTCTTTTATAAATTTCTGTGTGCGCTGTGATTCTTTTCGATGCTTTGGTTTTCTTTCCCCTGTCCAGTCCTTCTTAGACTGATCGGAAATGGCTGGTTTCCCACCCATATGATCAGATATCACCTATTGTCCGACCTAAGTCGCCGGTTTGGTGTAATTGAATCCTCTTTTTTGGGGCAAGAATGCTCTTCATGGATTTCTAGTGTTCTTGTTTTTTCCTTGGGCCTTTGTCTTGGACTTTCCTTGTGGACACAGAAATATACAGTTAACTTTAAGCAATTCCGGCAGACGGCTTGAAAGATCCATTAGATTCCATAAATGATGATAACATCTACGTCCTCGTTGATACTGTCGTGTATTTATCTTGTTGCTTATAGGTACTATGGTCGAGTATTGAGCTCTATTGAATGCTGATTGTCGATCGGATTGCTTTCCTTCTCTCAGGCTCTGTGAAAGGTGAGGAAGGATTAACAGAAGAATCTTGACAACCGAAAACTTGTGAGACGGATAACTTTTCAAGATGAGGCTCTTGACCCACAACATGCTTTCATCAAACATTAAGGGAGTAACCAATGGCTTCCCCCTTGGCATTGTGGTGGAGAAAGTAATAGAGAAACCAGTGGAGATGAATCCCGACTTTCTCAAGAATATGTTCACCAAGATCGAGTGGAAAGCTCTCGTGGATGCATCTCGGTCCATGGGCTACGCGGATCTTCCTGACCAAGCGGATTCCTCAATGCTTGACTCCGTCGATTTTCTGCAGAGGTTTCATCATGCCCTTTTAGAGCTCCACCTTGAGGAAGGCACGTTGGTTTGCCCAGAGACTGGGAGGAAGTTTCCTGTCAACAAGGGAATACCCAACATGCTCCTTCATGAAGATGAGGTCTGATTTTGGTTGGATCGACTTGACTCTGTTGTGCCATTTGTGATTCAAGATTTAGTGAAGTTATGTTAGGTGGAGGTTAGTTAACCATCTATTACTTCGCTTGTTTGAGTAGAGACTAGGTGTTTTGTGGTTTGATTGATGCAAGAGGGTTTAATAGCAGAAAAGGGCTTGCAATGCAGTTCGGGTCGATGTAATTATTGTTACAATTTTTACCTGATCTAGTCTTTATGAGTTATCTCTTGACATTTGAGGTGTACTTTGCTCATGTCAATCTATGATTACTAGGTCCAGATAGTGATGTTATCTCTCTTCATCTTTTTTAGTGTTGTCTCTTAGCGTCGCTTATTTTGCTTGTTCTGCATATGTGGTGTTTCTGCAAAATAAACTGGTTGTATTGGTCTGTTTGTTGACTTGAACTCGGTGGTAAGGTCTCGGACTTTCTTCCTCAAGTCCCTGACAAGCGCATGCATGGAATATATGAGAGGCCCATCCCTTGGGAGAAGTTTTGATTGTAATTGTAAGTTGTTTTGTAAATAGTAGTCTACATGGTACATTCTTTTCTACAAGGCGTTCAATATGAAGTCTTTGGTGATCTTTGAGAAATGAAACTCCCATGGCTTGGTCTAGTTTGCTACCTAATGAGGAACGCTGTTGGAGATACAGCATTATAGCAGCTTCATCGCTAAATATGCTACTCATGTACTTATCTTCATGCACCATGGGTCGATCTTTGCAAATTCTGTATGAATGCGTGATGGTTCACTATATGACTCTGTAAATTTATCCTCCATTGTTTTTCGACTGCAAGGACAGGCAACTTCTTTCGTCGAACTTGTTGGGAGCGTGTAGGAACCTATCGTGATGTCTGTCTAGGACTTGCCAGAGCGAAGGTGTAAAATTAAATGTATTGCGATGACCTTCATTTGTGCCAACTCAAACATTGGTACTGGCCGGCCACCTTAGCACCTTTACTCACTTGAATATGAAGGGCTTTTGTGAGGAGAGCTTCTAAGAAAATAAGAATTTTGATTTGACTACATATTACAGGTTTGGTAAGCGATTTAACCTCTTCACCATCAGGTTTGCTAACATGGATCTCTGTTTTCTGATCTTCTTGTAGACTAATTCTGCTGATGAAGATAAAAGTTTCATCACATAAATTGGAGTTCTTGCAGAGAACTCTTTCTATCAGTTCTTCTCGCATCTGGTAAAGCTATGATTCTCATATCATATACTATTCTCGTATGACCCGTCTCTATAGGTACAGCGACAAACTCAGGTCTGTAGCTACTAAAGCTTCACTCTTGCTGACTCATTACTAGTGTTACCAAAAGATTACATGACAGAGCAGGAATTTGGGTTTTCATCACTGAACATTTGTGGAGCATAGACGTAGTGAACGAAGTATGGATTTCCCTCCTTGGTCTTGACCTCCACGATCTTTCTCTCTCCTGTGAACTCCACAATCTCTTTGCCCTTTGTCTCTACAATCTTCTCCTTCTCTTTCTCCACCGTCACCTTCTTCTCCTCTTTCTTCTCCACCTTCTTCTCCTCTTTCTCCACCGTCACCTTCTTCTCCTCTTTCTTCTCCTCTTTCTCCTTCTTCTCCTCTTTCTCCACCGTCACCTTCTTCTCCTCTTTCTTCTCCTCTTTCTTCTCCACCTTCTTCTCCTCTTTCTCCACCGTCACCTTCTTCTCCTCCTCTTTCTTCTCCACCTTCTTCTCCTCTTCTTTCTTCTCGACCTTCTTCTCTGGTTTCGGAGGTATGATCTCCGCCCGTTTGTTCACGGTCCTCCGCACGTATGACAGGAGCTTCTCGGGCTCGATCGTTCCTTGGACTGTTAGGGTTTGAGCCTTTATGTCGGTCTTGACACTGTAGATACCTGCGCTACCATTTTGGACGTCATGTATCTGGTGATTTGGAATTCTTCATCGATGGCACATGTTGGGAAGTCTCAACTATACCTTGATGTCTTATAAGCTTAGTCCGCAGGTCGCGTTCGCATTGGTCGCAGTGCATGTAGACCTTCAAATTGTGTGTTCGCACGGGTAGCTTAACAAGAAAGAGACGAAGCAAATTTTTGATTAGATCAAGTTTTCTTTACACAGGAAACAAATGATGTCATGACAATGGAAAAAAAGTAATTCAACCTAATTGTGCATTTGAATTTTGTAAAAAGCATTAATTTTTAATATTGCAAAATGTATCATACAAATGTAAAATGCGAGGTTGACCTAATACGATGCATTACTATTTCGGTGTTCAAGGCCTTAAATATGTGATACTATACAATACCTTGGTGATTACTACAAACAAGCACGTCTTGTTCAGGAAAGAACATGCGCATCATACGTTAAATCTAACGAAACAGATACTAAATAATACAAAAAGATGTCGTGTTTGAATTGGAAAATAGAGGGAAAGAGAGTGATCGATCATCGTAATGAAATGAACATGTCCAAATGTGTGATTTTTACAAAAATGTAACTAGTTTCTGTCGATTAATCAATATTATGACGAGCAAAATTGTAGTGTCTATTAGTTTTACTTCTTTGGGGCGTTCCTTGACGACTTTCTTCTCGGTTTCGACTTCCTTGATCTTGATCTTGGGCGATATCAACTCCACCTTCCTCTTGCTGAGTCTCTCTATTTTCTTATGGATTCCCAGCGGGTCGATTGCCCCTTTCACCTTCACTTCGTTGCTCTCCATGTTCACTTCCACTTGGTGAACACCTGCTCTAATGACCACCATCATCATCATTCATCACAATCCAAGACAAGAAATTTCATGGAATATACGCGTACATCTAGCAACATCACATTCACTCCATTCATCGACTGATGTTTCGGTTAATGTTCATGATATCTCTTGTGCTTAGCAATGGGATCGGCTGAGTTGTCTATCCGACAAACTGGCTTGTTATAAACTATATCTACGCACTTTTCATGGGAATCCACTTCACATACCTTGTGTTCTGAGAAGAGGCCTCCTGATCTCAGCCGCGCATTCTGGGCAATGTAGGTTAACTTTGTATATGGCGGTGATCACGTCAACTTTCTTCTCCTCTTTCCCCGCCATTTATTTTTGCAAAGATCTTTCGAAAACGGGAAACAGAGAAAAGGGAAAAGGAGATAGCAAACGATAATTTGTCTAGAGCTTTTATGCTGAAGAAAAAGGGTTGTGCAAATGAGGCTTCTGCCAATTAATCGTGAAGGGATCGAGAGATCATGCTGGTGAGATTTGCTGAGGGTAGTTCAACAGCTGCTTGAAACTTGCTGGAGATGAAATGGGAGAATTTTCTTTGGCGTGGAGGACTAGAACTCGTTTTCTCACCTATTTCCCTCCTTTTTGTTGCACCTGCGCATGATGAAATGCCAATGAAGAAAATGGAAACAGATGTGCAATTTGTCTGCTGGTGATGGAAAACCGGCATTGCTCACGACTACTTGTCATGATTTGTTTGAAGCAACATAGTCCCGTAACATTTCAGGCATACATGAACGGAGAGTTTATTGGAGGGGGAACAAGAACTCATTCGTTCGAAAACCACGACACAAATTAAGGTAGAGAGATTCCAATCGAAACGACAAAACGATAAGCACGCTTATAATTGCTGAATGTCAATCCTGGTTGCGAAACAAATCGCATCGCATGTATTGCTTATGATTAGCTTTACAAGGTAAACAATCAGGTGCTCAGAGTTATTTAATGAGCACATGTAGCCTGCTTTTAATACACCGAATACCTCTACATATGGAGAAACTACGTTTCGACTTGCGTAGTATCTAATTTTCAACTATAGAGACCCGAGTATAATCGCACGAAGGCTTCGGTGCGTCCTATGTACACGCATCCAATGCACCTAATACCCGCTCCCGTCATAGAGAAGATTGCTATACTTCCCCTATCTCCATAACTCTCATTTGGACATATAACATGTATATTGAACAAAAAAGAAACACAGCAGGCATTTCTGCTTTTTATCTTCACACGGGTTAAAACAAAAAATCAGCAAATCCAGTTCCTTCCACCTTCCACAGGTAAGAGAATCAGCACATCTCCCATTCATTTTATTCCTCAAATCTATCTGCCACAAGTCGTCTTTTTCAAAGATCAAAATTAAATATACACAAGACTAAACACACTGACTCAATATATGTCATAAATCACACATTACCCGTTCTCAGCTAACTGAACAAAAAGAGCCAGACTGAGTACTGAAATTTGGCATATCGAACCACTGTAATTGGATGTTTCAGCTGCCCCGGTAGGTGGTGAATGAGAATGGAGAAAAGAGAAGAGGAACATGAAAATGCTCCCGCTTCTGTGTCTCTGCAATTTCGAAAATGATAGAAACATAAGGGAAGAACCCGCCGGGGCAGTACTTACTCGTGTTGAAACTGATCCTGTATATTCCCGGATTAATCTCATTGATGATGTCCATCAACTGACCGCTTCGGCCATCTTTATCTGTACTTGAGACCCCTTGAAGTATCCAACCACCAACTTCTGCTTCGCCGAACAACGGGCGGGGTTTGTTGCCCCTCCACATCTCTAAGCAGACCTCCATGCCTGAGGCTGGGCATCCTTGAGAGACATCCAAGACATGTGTTGTTATAGGTGGACGAGTTCGAGTTGCACTTTGCGACGTTTTGTTGGAAGAAACTTCTGAAACAGCCGTAAGATGTCCTCCGATTATGCTCACACGATCTTCTAGAGCACAAAAACGAAAATGTTAGCATGATCTGAACCAAAAGTAGTTCAAAAGCATATATCTTAGCAATTATAGTCGCGTAAATATAATTCATATATTTCTATAATTTAAATATTTTATCATATTAGTGGGAAAGTAATAAGAAGTTCTTAAGAGTCAAAAAACAAACAGATATAAATAGGTGACAAAAAGCTTGGTGTAAGAGTGCATAGACAGATAAAATTGTTAAACATGTGATCTTCATGTAGATCTACATATATAGACAAGTAGGAATTCAGGCAATACTATGTAATTTATTGTTCCTTTTGCACCGTGATTCCTGTTTGATACCTTAAATTCTCTTAGCTTTTGAGCAAAAATTGCAATGAAAATCAGGACAGACTTGAGAAATCTAGATAACCTAGCAACAAATGACAGATAAGTCAACCACATGGCATGCTACTGCAACATGGTTGAAGTGGCAAAGGCTCATATGGCAGATTAACCCTGCCCCTGAAAAAGAACTTCATATATCAAAGGGGTAAACGCCCTCCCACTCAAGAGGTACTAAAACCTTTCCATGCTAGAGGATTCTTTTAAATTGGGTTTGTACGGGGAAAAACATGCAAAATAATAGCAGAAACAGTTGCATAGAGCCATCTGTCAAATTAGCCATTAAGGGCATGCATGGGTAGAAGAATTGCTATGACTTGACAATAGATAATTAAAACTTCATGCTTGAAAGATGAAACCCAGGACATTAGAAGCACCTTCTGCTTTCTTTGCTAGTCCTGCAGGACGCTGATCAACAGTTGAAGCCATGTGTTCTTTGGCTGAAAAGAGCTTTGCAAGACGTAATTCAGTTACTTTCATCTGCTCTTCAGCTGCAATCTGAAACTCCTCTATGGGCCTATTAGAGTACCGTCTCTGGAAAAGAAAATGTTGCAATTTTCTCACTTCTCAGTTATGATGTCAACATGTAACGCTGTTGACTGATATCTACTAAGACTGAAGGAAGTAAGGAAAATGCACAGTAAGTTGAGCTTTCTCCAAGGACAAGGCACAAGGCTTCATGGAAGGTGTTTCTGCGATAGGCACACTTTCATGGATCACAAAGCTGTACGCCTTGGATTGTCCCTCATTAGAGACATGAACTCATGTGAGCTAGTAACCTAGGGTACCAAATTTTGTTTCAAGATTTACCTTCAGCTCTGCAAGTATTTCGGGACTCGTCCTTCCAGAAGCACAAATAATAAAAATAAATCCGAACTTCCGCTTATATCGTACATTCCAGTCAGATAGTTCCTGCAAATGACAGGTCCAAGAGCATCACACTATTAGAGTAACTAATATGATTGCAATTATCAGTATGGTTTTCTCCATTACATTGAAGTAAATATTAGAACAATAAAATTTTTTGCATAAGAGGTTAACCTGTAAGCTAGAACCAGTGGCAGTTGCCAAAGCTGTAGATTGCTCTCCTTTACTCCACCTATTGAGATGAATGTCCAAAATTGCTCAGGTAATACACGAGTAACAAAAGACCAAAAATGTGCCAGAAAATGCAGGTGAAAGGGCACGTATAGAAACGAACACAACATTTGAAGTACTATGAACCATTCAGGTAAGTGCATTTAGCCCATGATATGCTTCAATCACTTCTCTGGTTTATTTCTGTTTGTTTGCTGCGTAACAATATGTATAGGCTAAACAGGCAATTTTGTGTTGCCATAGAATACCTCTACCTCACAAAAGTGCATAACACAAAAAAAGGATCACTGTGGTAAAGTTGAAGAGAGTAGGATTCTTTCAAATAAAAAAACTTGTCCCACCTAATTGTCGACGTATTTGCAAGTTTATGAGATGGAACTTAAGTAGAAGTCAAACGCCAGATGAAACAAGTTCACAGCACATAGATTTGTAGTGCCTGTCCAACTCCATGTAGGGAATGTATGCATAATCTTTTCGTTCTTCCAGTTATGATAAAGGACAAACTGGTGTGTAGGATTGATGTAAATCATGCTTAATGAACAGTTCAATGAGAGAGTTCACCTGATGAAAGCTTCAGAGAATTATAAGGATGGGAGATAAACACATCTCCATGAGCAAACACCCTATCATCTACCAGAGAATGCATTGCTCATCATGCATAGTAGGAAAACATTGTTAAGACAATGGCACAATTCATAAGTTGTTTCAAAAGTAAATAGGAGGATTTCTGTCATAATTCACCAATGAGTCGTCCCAGCGTTCCATAAAATCAAGTAGATTAACCAAACTATTCGGACATAACATGTGGTAAATGTGACATGTGCAGTCCCCAAAAAAATATGATGGATGCATAAGCAGATATCTAAAGATAAACAGACCAGTTGAGTACTCCATTGGGGCTTGGCCCACTTCAAATTAGTGCCACAGTTGGTAAAGTAATTTGTCAAGAACATGTACTCTCATTCATTTGCAGCATACAATCCACATAATGAAGCACATACCCGATCTTACAGAAAGCAGATTACCCTACAACAAGTTAACACTTCACCCAACCAATAAAAACACCCATCAATTTTCCCATTAAGAAGACCAGAAAACTTGGAAAATGAGTTGATCGACCCATCAGTAAAAGCAAATCATATTCTGTCAAATTAGTCAACCTCATTCCAAAGGTTCAAATAGCATTAAGTTTTCCACACATAAACAAAGGCATCAGCCATCCACAAGTCGCCAATTCATATAATTCAATGAAGCAAGGAGCTGATAATGAAGAGCCGAATGAAGGAGCCAAAACATGACTTGCCAGTTGCGGGGCACTACCGTCCCCGGGCAAGCTGGAAAAAATCTACCTGCTTCATCCATGGTTTCACAAATACTTACATCACAAAATTGAAAAGAAGCCCCAAACAAGTGCTCCTCAACTGTGAAGGCTAAAGTTCATTTACATGAAAAAAGCCAGTCTTTTTAGTTGGCACAGTGAGAACTCCAACAAATAATCTATGCCAAAGAGCAAAGCATGAAAATCTGAGGAACCCCATAAGGAAAAATTCCCTACTATCTCTTCAACTTCTCTTAAAAACAACGATGTCCATGAGGGGCCGCCAAGCGCAGATGTAAAAGAAAAAGCAAGAACCGATCAAAATAGAAGATACAGATAAAGAGAGAGACAGAGAGAGACTTAACTGAGCACTGGTGTCACTTCTCCCAGGAGCCACCGATTTGGTCTCTCCGATTTGAGGGTGGGCCGAGAAAGCTTCAAGCCAACCGCTCACGTCAACCTCCAACCAGCGAAAGAACACAAGATCAGCAATTTCCTCCGAAAGCTCCAATTCGAAAAGGGAAAAACAAGAAGGAACGAAGCAACGGGAAACGGTGGGGGTGGAGAGGGAGAGGGAGAAAGAGGCTACTCTGTTGAACCAGATGTCTCTGGCGGCGGGAACGGCAGCTTGGAAAGAGGGGAAGGGGGAGGCTCTCGCCATTTCGGCGGCGAACCTGGTGCTCCCGCAGCAGGCCAAGAAGTCCTTCTCGTCGAAAGCGAACTCCATGGGATGTGGGGTTGTGTCTGCGCCGCGGCGGCAGCGGGAGGAGCGAGGAGGCTGGGCGATCGGAGGACGGCCGCCGGCGTGAATCCGATCCGGAAAGCGAAGACGACGGTGGGAAAGGCCGGGGCAACGATGATGAACTGATGAAATATATTTTAGTGATTTTCTTTGGTTTTCAGTTGCGCCTCCGATAATTCACCTTAGCTTGCCCCTTGGAACTTTTTTACTCAGATCCAAATTTTCCAATCCACGCATTAGAATTTTTTAAATGCGAAGTATTTATGATTTTCACGAAAATGCAAGGATTTATATAAACAAATTCTTAGGGAGTGTCTTTTTGAGTTGAAAGATTTTTTCACGAATTAATTCTCTTAGCTTTCGTGCGTTTGGTTCGCTGAAAATGATCTGCCAGTTAGCGAAAAAATATCTGCGGTCAACAAAAACATGTATGTATAAAGTTAAGAAAATAAATTCCTTAACCTGAAAAAGGGAAAACGTTTTCCTTGAAGAATAATTTTCCTTTATCATGAAAATACACCCTTAGTTAAGTATAATAAGAAAGGGAAAATTTCAAATCAGTACCAAAATTGAGGTCATTTTCTCAAAAATGGGTTCAAAGTGGACATAGTCTCAAATAGGGGCCCGAAGTGCCTAATCAGTCT